TGTGATATAGATGATATTGCTTTAAAACTTGCAGCTTTTAGCAGTTGTCTAAGGGCCTGTTTATATCGAAACTGGCTGGCCCACTAAGTGAGACAGCCTGGTAAGTGAGATCTCACTGTCTAGTTATTTTTATAGTACAAATTATCATTTCTATGGACAAGCAGGCAGGCCCAGTTGCCAAGACCAGGATGGAAATTTCTCCACATAAACAATCATAATCAGGCTAGCCCGGTTGCCGGCATGAAAGTTCAAAGATACTGCCGAAAGCTATTTTTAACAACTGTCAAAATAATGTCAATGAAAACAACAAAATTGTCCCGGTAAGCGGAATGAAATTTTCTCAAATAAACACAAGAGAAATCATCCTGCTTACCTACCTTGCCTGTCTTGCTAAGCGGGCCAGCCCGGCTTCCATACAAACAGGCCCTAACAGTCTCTGACAGGCAATTGCAATGTTCTAATGTCCAAACTCTAAAGTATTATAAACAAGTAGTATAAAGTCAGTAGTAAGTTGCTAGTAAGTCATATCAACATGTGATCTTGACAATATACAGTGTATAAACTAAAGTAATTCAGCTTTTACACATAAAGCGACTTTAAACACTATCCTTACACTTTATCAATTCATTGAAGTTTGTACTTAAAAGACATTCTATTTGTAGTATTAAATATAAGACATATTCTATTTGTAGTATCAAGTCACATCAGGATTTTATAATCTAGCGTCTTTGGACCCAAGTGATCTCGAGTTCTATCTTGTTAAAACCTATCCAAGGAAAAACAAGAAAGGGATATTGAAGTAATGGTGTTTTTGAGCCAAATAAATTCGAATATCCACAAGTATAAAAGCAGAACTCAGTATATACCGGAGACAAAATGGCATCATAGCGAACACATTTTAATGATGCTCAAATTTATATTCAGTGCGCTATATTTTTAAAAATATGACCCTGTTTGCTTTCTAAATACAACAAAATTACTGCTTTACCTTCTGTTCAAATAGTTCCACAGATAAATCGAAGTCACATTTCGTACTACTTGAAAAAAAAGCTGTTTTTACTGTAGAAATGACAACTTCCCAATATGATTTTTAATTGTCAACACTGCATTACACTTGTTTAACTCGCGCATGCGCAGTATAAAAGATGAGACATGTTTCCGCTTGAGTAAGACTTCTTTTCCTATTATCTATTCTGTGACAGAGTGCTCTACAACACCGAAGTGAAGGAGCGTAATATAGTACAATCTGCAGACATGCATGTTTCGACGTCCTACGCCTCATCAGTGCAGCTTGGTACACATGTATACACGCAATGACTTTCGTGTTGACATACATGACATCTGCTCTCCCAAGAGCATGTGGTACAACACGGGCCATCAACGCATCCAGACATGCGCAGAGTGACATGCGCAGAGTGACATTATATATATGATGTTTAGCACTCTTTGCGTTTCGTATACACAAACCTACTCGTATATATATATATATATATATATATATATATATATATATATATATATATATATATATATATATATATATATATATATATATATATTGATTGATTGATTGATTGATTGATTGATTTTAATAATTACCACATTGTAAATTAATAAAAATTTAAAAAACGTGATATTACATAGATAGTATTAAAATTTTTAAATTTGCAAAAAGTTCAATTTAAAACTACTATAATATAAACTATATTAATGATATGTGCTATAAAATATTTTGTTATGTCTATGGTCGGTCCCAGTTTCTAACACACTTTGGGATAAAACTGTTCTTATATCGTTCAGTTTTGCACTTATACAGAGGATAAGTGCGTTTATTTCTTAGACTGAATTTGTGAGATATAGCACTGGGAAGTAGCGTTCTCAACTTATCGTCTGAGTGTTGATGGATATTCTTATAGAATGACAAGCACTGATTCTCTCTTCGCTGGTAAAGTGTAAGAAAGCCAGTGTTTCTTAGTGAGGTAGTATAGGAGGACTGGGGGAAAGCGATTTTCAATGCACGTTTTTGTATACTCTCGATTTGATCAGCGAGGAATTGAGGGAGAGAAAAATGCCATACAGGTGAGGCGTATTCCAAAACTGGACGAATAAACGCACAAAAGACCGTTATTAAATCATTGGCTGGGGCACCAGATCGTTTGAGGATCCTTAGAGCATAAAGACGTTTACTTGCTTTGGTGCAGATGTAATCAATGTGCGCATTCCAGGTAAGATCCGATGATATTATCACTCCCAGAAGTTTGAAGGTCTGGACGATTTCTACGTTTAAACCAGATGACGAGAGGGCATCGAATACCATAGGGACTCTAAGAAAGGATATACGCAGTTCTTTGGTTTTAGATACATTAAGCCGCATGTTGTTGTGATTGGTCCAGTCATTTATAGTGTTTATATTAGCTTGAAGCGATGAAGTAGGGGATGATCTTGAAACGATTTCGTATGTGGAGCAGTCATCGACATATTTGTACATTGGAGTGTTGGTTTGCAAGTCATTTATCATCACAAGGAAGAAGAGGGGTCCAAGTTTTGTACCTTGTGGAACCCCTGCATTTATTTGTCGCCATGTTGATTTATTCTGGCCAAGCTTGACACGTAAATATCGGTCATGCAGGAGCTCAGCGCACCAATTCAACAAGATAGGAGGGATGTTGAGTTGTTGTAATTTATGAAGTAAAATATTGTGATCAATGCGATCAAAGGCTTTCGAAAAGTCAATCATACAACATCTGATAGTTGAACCAGGGTTTTCTAATTCGGCTAGCCAGTTATCGATCATGTGGATAAGAGCGTGTGTGGTGGAGCAATTTTTCATATTTCCGAACTGGAGCGGGTCGATTGATGGTTTAATATAACCAAAAAGCCACCCAGAAACAAAGCTTTCCAATAATTTACTCAGCACCGGTGTGAGAGAAATAGGTCTTAGGTCGCTATCAACTGATTTGGGATTAGATATTTTTGGCGCTGGGATAACGTCTGCTGATTTCCAGAGTGTCGGGATGCAACCTTGTGCAATGCTGGCATTGAAGATGGAACATATTGGACCAGCAAGCAACGGTGCAGCTGATTTCAGTACCCAGTTGGGGATATTTTCGGGGCCAATTGCTTTCTGAAGACTGATCTTTTCCAATTCGATTTCAACTTGTTGGGTTGATATTATGTACTCATCAGGAACAGATGTAATGTGAAGCTTATTGAAGCAGAGTGGGGCCAATTCGTTTGAAACAGCACAGAAAGATTCGGCAATTAGTTCAGCAAGCTCAGGACCTCTTTTGAACTCACCATCATGGAAGATGCTCGAAAAAGGTTCCGATTTAGATAGACCAGAAATAGACTTGATGTTATCGTACCATGTTTTTGGGTTAGATTCACTGGTATTAAGGATTTTCTTATCGTAGTAGGACTGACGAGCAGATTTACATAGTTTTCTAACTTTGTTACGATAAATGTTATACATGACGCAGAGGGAGGTGACTATCGATAACAGAGGATAGTTTGTTTGAGAATAGGTTGAATTGATCATCTAGAGCAGTTACGTGGTAAAGTGGGGTCCAGTTGATTTGGGATAAGGTGGTGATTAGGGCTTGTTTGTTTGCGGGTCGACAGTCTCTTTTAGTAATGTAGGAGGGGGTATAAGACTTGAGTGACTTCGGACTTTGTTTAGTCGGGTTGAGGAGAACACTTTGGTGATCAGATTGTCCAATGCATGGGAGTATAATGGCATCAATGTAATGCTTCGAAAGGGTAGTGTAAATCTTGTCAAGGATATTGTTACCACGGGTGGGTCTTTTCACAACTTGTTTAAGATTAAAGGATGAAGTTAATGATCCAGGTTTAAACTGGTTAAAGTCTCCTAACAAGACGATGCCTGCGTTTGGAAAATTGATGAGGGCGTTGTCTAGGGATTCAAATAGATGGTTCCTTAGTGTTGAATCGTTATTTTGTGGAGGGTGGTATACAGAGGCTACTACAATTGCATCAATTCCTCTTGGAAGTCTTTTTGGTTTTATCAAGAACCACTGTGATTCAATGTCGGGGTGAGATAAGTCTTTTAATTCTAGGAAGTCCAATGTATTTCTGATGTAGGTGCAGAGTCCACCACCACGTTGATCGTCACATCGGTCTTTGCGAATACTTGAAAATCCGGGGATCTTAATGAGATCATTCGTAATGTTTGACGAAAGCCATGATTCTGTGATGATTGCAACATCACATTTATTATTAGTAATAGTTGCACTGATCTCATCCAGTTTATTAGCCATTGAACGAGTGTTGCTTAAGAAGAAAGTTGGGAAGTCATAGGATAGACGGGTGGTTGGAATCGTGATTAACGTGCGAGTAGTTGGACGATATTTACTACAATTCCAGCGAGGATGGAATTCAGAGTCGAATATTTGACAGTTTTGAATATTTAATGAGTCAGAAACAAGGTTATGAAAAATTGATGTGAGTGGTATTATGTTGGTGTTCAAAGTCATAGACTCGTAATATCCATGACTTGCCGTTCTTAAGTCATAATATGGCGTACAAGGTTCAGGTGATTGAGCCAATCTTGTGTTCGGCGATTCTTGATGTATTCCCGATGATTCTGTTTTACCAAACTGCCTCGACTCTTCCTGCGGTAGCGTTTCCGAAAAAAAGGACGGCTTTCAGTGCTAAACTTTGATTGTACTGTTTCAACGAGGGGCAAACGGTCTATCCATTCAGCAATCGTGGTACTCCGCGGTGCACACGATTCAGTTTCTGCTATGGTATTAATGTGTTCCATTCTGGAACTGTTTCCTATTTCGCAAGTATTTGTTACGTTGTGGTCAATTGTTGGTGGTTGGGGACTTTGCTGGATTAGATTACCATGATTAGCTTCACACATTGTTGATGTTTGTGCACTTGGCTGAGTTGAATAAATTGAGTTTTTTTCGGCGCAATTTGTTGGTGAGTGAGTAACGCATGGTTGAATTGAATTAGAGTTACCATGATTAGCATGAACGTTTATTGGTGTTTGAAAGCTTAATTGGGTTGAATAATTTAACTTTTCTTTAGCATTATCATTAGGCAGTACACGACACCCTTGGGAGCATCTAATCTTCTCCCCTACGGTCGCTAGCTCGCCTCGAAGCTGTTCTATCGCTTGTCTGTTAGCCTCCAAATCTCTCGCAGTTTTCGATTCTATAATTACAAAGTCTAACTTGAGGCCTTCTATTTCGGTAGCCAAGTTGATATCAGCAGTCTGTGTGACGGATGGGTGTTGAGCAACACTCTGCTCCGAGTACAGATCAGTTTGCGTGCCCAGTTCACAAGTACTTCGTTTGTCGTCATTTCTAGAATATTCATAATTTACAAACTTTGTATTCAACTGATAGAGATTATTGACAATCTCATGCAGCCCATCTATTTTGCGATTGACTTCAGTCATTTCTGCCAACAGACGACTACAATTTTGACACTCATTTGGTGACTCTCGTCTACCGTTGTTGACTAATACGATAGGTTCTTGTTCGCATGTATTGGCATGGTCATGCGCCAAATCACTGTTTTTATAGCATTTTATAATCAGATCTTTTAGTTTATTTCCCTCCTCACCTTGAAAAAGCAAAGACTTTTTATTTGCATACCAGGTTAGGCAAATTTGATCGTGCCGAAAACACTTTGCTGATCCCCCAGGAGAATTCCATTTGCCGACATTGCCGTACAAACTTGACACAAAATCCTTTAGATAAGTTAAGTCCCCTAACCATTTTACTCTTCTGTCTTCGCAGCATTCAAGATATTTTCCGTATTTCTGCCAAATATAAGTGGAGACATTTAGAGTGAGATCGAGTTCAGTATAGTTGTTTGTGTTGCCGTCGTTCACAACGCTGTTCACAGCCATTGAGCGCTTCACTCTAGCATGCTTATGCTGTAAATAAACTTATCGACCCTCAAAATCGGCTTACTATACCGACTTAATTAATAATGGATCATCTGATCAAAAAACCCTTTTCAAGACTGTAAGCAATTTGCTGCATACAAATACGATTATTCGCTATCCATCTTCTCCTGACCCAATGTCACTTGCCAACTCATTTAGTGATTTCTTCACTCAGAAAATTGTTAAAATACGAGGTGATATCGAAGATGAACTCTTGAGTAAAAACATAGAAAATCCTATACCTGATGTTGATTCATGTCCTTATAAATTTCACACCTTCAGGGAGGTTGGAAAAGACGAAGTGCTCCATTTAATCCAACGTATCGCAACTAAATCCTGTTCTCTGGATCCACTCCCGGTGGTCATGCTAAATCACTGTTTTAAAGACATCTTACCCGTTGTAGTTAGAATAATCAACCTCTCCTTGGAAAGTGGTACAATGCCTGACTCTTTGAAGATTGCTGTTGTTCAACCGCTATTAAAAAAGTACAATCTTTCCTATGAAGAATTCTGCAGTTTTCGTCCAATATCAAATCTGAAATTTGTCTCGAAATCTATTGAGAAAGCAGTTGCTGTACAATTAACTGATTATCTTACTGAAAATCATCTACATGAGAAATTCCAGTCTGCTTATAAACCTTGTCATAGTACTGAAACAGCGCTATTGAGGGTTCAAAATGATATCCTTCAAGCTCTAGATAACGGTGATTCTGTTATTCTTGTCCTACTGGATCTGTCGGCGGCTTTTGACACCGTGGATCATTTAATGTTATTAACAAGACTATCGAAACGCTTTGGCATAAGGGGTCGTGTGTTGGATTGGCTTACCTCATACCTTACATCCAGGAAACTGTTCATTCGTGTTGAGGGAACTGATTCGTTATTGAGTGATCTTGATTGTGGTGTACCTCAGGGATCTGTGTTGGGTCCTCTGTTGTATTCACTCTATACTGCCCCTCTCGCGGATGTGGCTAGGCGCCACAATCTGCGCTTTCACTTTTTTTCTGATGATGGGCAACTTTACATTGCATTCAAAACGAATGATCGTGATGATTTAATATCATCTAAGATCCGTATGGAGAAATGTATACTTGAATTGGGAAACTGGTTGATGTTGAATAAATTGAAACTAAATAGTGGCAAAACGGAGCTTATATTAGTCCATTCACGCTATCATCTGATGCCTCCCTTAAATTATATCATGGTGGGAAAGGAAAAAATTGTGCCAACTGTTTCAGCAAGAAATCTGGGGGTGATTTTTGATGAGTGGATCAGATTGGGCGAACATATTAATGGTATCTGCAAGTCAGCTTACTACCATATTAGGAATATTTCAAGAATTAAGAAGTATCTACCTCGAAATTGCTTAGAAATAATTATTCATGCATTTATAACTTCAAGACTGGATTATTGTAACTCCCTGTTGTATGGTGTACCCAAATATTTGCTTCAGAAGCTTCAGAGAGTCCAAAATACTGCAGCTCGTTTACTAACTGATACTAAGAAATCGGCGCATATCACCCCAGTTCTTATCGAATTGCATTGGTTACCTGTCCAATACCGTATTCAATTCAAGATTATACTTCTTGTCTACAAAGCTGTTAATGATCTTGCTCCATCGTATCTGAAGGAACTTATGCTGTGTCGTACTTCGCAGCGTACTCTTCGATCAAATGGAAATGAATTGCTCCAGATTCCTTATTCTAGACTAAAGACATACGGAGACAGATCGTTCTGTGTTGCTGGACCAAGATTGTGGAATGATTTACCTGTTCATCTTCGGATGTGTGAATCATTAACCATTTTTAAGAAGTTTCTTAAAACATATCTTTTTAACTTGTTTTTAAATAGTGTATGATGTATTCTATAGTTTTAACATTCTTAACACTAGTTTTTAAGATTGGATTTTGTATTACTGTAAAGCGCCTAGAACAGTCTTGGTTTGTGCGCTATATAAATGTTTATTATTATTATTATACACATTGATCCGTTCGAGAAATGTCTCACAATTGTATCGGCCTGTAATCTAGTGTTTCGAAAGAACTTCCTGAAAGAAAACACCATTGCAATCACTACCCCTCACGGCTATCGTCCCAAAGACAAGCAATCCTTCTTGGCTTTAAAATGGCTTTTGTATAAGGCTGAAAAGGAAGACCTCTACATTCAACATGCTCTTAATGAAGGAGAAAAGCGTGTTGGAAACTATTTACTGGACGGCTATAACGAAGAAACCAACACAGCCTACGAGATCAATGGGTGCTTCTGGCACGGTAAGTTAACTCGAATAAACGCCTACTTCGAATAAAGACCTTGGAATAAAATTATAATATTGTTTTTTCAGGATGTTTGAAGTGCTATGCTCGGGACACGGTAAATCCTGTGAGTGGTAAGACGATGCAAGATCTTCATCAAGCTACAATGGAGAAGATCAGTTACCTTAAAGATCATGGTTTCGGTGTGATTGAAGTCTGGGAATGTGACATCAGGAAAGAACTGGAACAAGATGAAGACACGAAGACTTACTTTGACAACTACGATCCTGTTGATCCTTTGGAACCTCGTGATGCCTACATTGGTGGACAAACCAACGCTGCAAAATTGTTCCACGAATGTAAAGAAGGTGAGAAAATAAGGTAAGATGTAATAAAATGGCAGAAACGATTATGACGTCAGAGCAAATATATCGATGACGTCATCTTTCTCTTAGGTATGTGGATTTTACGAGCCTCTACCCATGGTGCAACAAAATGACTCGGACAGTTGTTGGCCATCCCCGCGTCATTACCGAAAACTTCGAAGATATCTCGACTTACTTTGGCTTGATTAAATGCACGGTGCTTCCACCTCGACGTCTTTTCCACCCTGTCCTGCCCTGTCGTACACAAGGCAAATCGATGTTCCCTCTATGCAAGTCCTGCGCTGATGCGTGTGATCAGACCCCATGTACTCATTCCGATCACGAAAGAGCCATCCAAGTGCACGAAATATTGCATTTTCCCGAATCCTCCGACGGATTGCATGTTCAAAGAGTATGTGAACACCTTCCTCAAGATCAAGCAGGAATCGAGTGGTTACCCAAAGAATTGTACCACGGAAGAACAGAGACAGCAGTACGTAGACGAATACCTTGCAGTTGAAGGAATACAGTTGGACCGAAGCAAAATCGAGCACAATCCAGGCATGCGTGCGTTATCCAAGCTCATGCATGCTAAACTCGTTTTCGGGTATGTATTTTAAACAGGTATTTTCTTTAGATGGCGTCGGAACAGGTGGAAAGTTATCGCTACCGATGCTCATAATATATATTTTTCTCTCCATAGGTAAATTTGCACAACGTCCCAATATGACCAAAGTGGAATTGATCAGTGACATGCAAACGTTTCTCGACTATCTGACCTCGGAAGAGATCAATGTTCTCGATGCAAATTTCGTAAGTGATGAAGTGATCGAGATCCACCACGAAAACAACGAGAATTTCGTGACGCCAAACTCCAAGACCAACGTGGTCATCGCCGCTTTTACCACCGCCTATGCACAACTCAAGCTCTACGGAGTGCTGGACGAATTGCAAGAAAGAGTGTTGTACTACGATACGGACTCTGTGATATTTGTCGGCAAACCGGGGGAACCAGAGCCCCCGATAGGTCCTTATCTCGGTCAACTCACGAATGAATTGCAAGAAGGACACATTACAACCTTCATTTCGTGCGGACCGAAGAATTACCGCTATCGGACCAGTTCCAACAAACTAGAAACAAAGATACGCGGTATCACGTTGAATTGCACCGCAAGGCAAAAAGTGAGCTTTGACGTTATACGCGAATTGGTTCATTTGCACGCAGTATGCAAAGTGAACAATACCGTAACGGTTGATATCCCGTACAAGATCACGAGAAACACAAAGACCAAAAGCATTGAAACGAAACGTACGAAAAAGGACTACAGAATAGTTTATAATAAACGTGTAATTATGGATGATTATAAAACATTACCATATGGGTATTAACTTTGTAAATAACATAAACAGTTTGAAATAAATATTTTTACAAGGTAGCTTGATATCAAAGTTAATTTCTGATGTTCAGTTTGCGATAATGATCCAGATTCACCCCTGTTCTTCTTCCAGTGTCGCGACTTCCTTTTTATTTTTTCTAGCCATGTCCCACATCAAAATTTCCTTAGCGTTCATATGATAAGTAAAGTTGTTCCCCTGTGGAGCCCGAGGTACTGTTACACCCGTTAATGTTTCCAATATGATTTGCGTCAACATGATTGAGTGCACTGACGGATTGTCAATAAACGTTGCAGGTATCATATTCTTCTCTATCAAAAGTCTCATCAAATCCAAAGTTGCCAAATTTCCCTCTTGCGTTAAGCATTTGTCGGAGAGCCAGTGAATTACGATGACTCTCCAAGCCATGTTCGTTTGATCTGATCAAAAATTTTAAAAGGTACTGCGTTTTTATAGATTTTGCTCACATGACAATTTGCAATGTGTCCAACAATGATTGGACAGCGTCATCGTGTTTTTACAGGTTATAATAACTGAAAGATCTCGTGTTTCAACGCCCGTCTGTGGTCCACGCGAAAAACGGTTTTCCAATTGTCTGCATTATACTTGATCAATTCATGCACTATCATTTCGCTCAAACCTCTAATAAAAGCTTTCATGACTTTCGTTTCCGAAGCCTTTTCCAAAGCATAGTCAAAGCACAAACATAATTGTACGTCCCTTTCCATCGTAAGACATTGATAATGCATTTGGGACAAATGCTCAGTTATGCATCCGTTACAATTTTCAACAACGAGCTTAGAGATGATAGGAGCTATTTCTTCAGCTGGAATTTTCAAAAGTTTCTTTACGTTAAGCTTTTGTCGATGATGGAGAACTAATTCCTTATTGTCAATGTCGATAGGCTCAGAACGAAGCATGTTTGATCTTCACTTGACTGTTGAATGTTTCTTTTAAGTCCAAAAAGTTTAAAGTCGCACGCACCTATAAAAATCTTTTCATACTAGAGTGTACGTCATGGGACACACTGCCAGAAAAATCCGAAGATTAAAAAGATCATAATAAACAGAAAATGTTTAGAATCGGTATAAGTGTTGGCCGAAAAGAACTCAATGTTGAGGGACTTTTACACGCTAGATAGGTATTCGTCCATGTTACACACGTAAAATAAAGGATTCACTTTATTCTTCTACGTTTTGAATGCTCTCATCGGGTTCATCCTTTGACAGCGTATTTGTTCATGGTCAAAGTATTTTCAACGGGTTTGTAGTTTTTAAACGTTTTACTGCTGTATCCCGCCTGTGGTTCCCCCGGTTTGCTGACAAATATCACAGAGTCCGTATCGTAGTACATGTACAACACTCTTTCTTGCAATTCGTCCAGCACTCCGTAGAGCTTGAGTCGTGTATAGGCGGTGGTAGAAGCGGCGATGACCACGTTGGTCTTGGAGCTTGGCGTCACGAAATTCTCGTTGTTTTCGTGGTGGATCTCGATCACTTCAGCACTTACGAAATTTGAATCGAGAACATTGATCTCGTCCGAGGTCAGATAGTCGAGAAACGTTTGCATGTCACCGATCAATTCCACTTTGGTCATATTGGGACGTTGTGCAAATTTACCTATGGAGAGAAAAATATATATTATGAGCATCGGTAGCGATAACTTTCCACCTGTTCCGACGCCATCTAAAGAAAATACCTGTTTAAAATACATACCCCAAAACGAGTTTAGCATGAGCTTGGATACGCACGCGTGCCTGGATTGTGCCCGATTTTGCTTCGGTCCAACTGTATTCCTTCAACTGCAAGGTATTCGTCTACGTACTGCTGTCTCTGTTCTTCCGTGGTACAATTCTTTGGGTAACCACTCGATTCCTGCTTGATCTTGAGGAAGGTGTTTACATACTTTTGAACATGCAATCCGTCGGAGGATTCGGGAAAATCCCATACTTCGTGCACTTGTAGAATTTGGTAATCTTTCTCCTGGGCTTTCTCCAACTCTACACTGCACCATGTTCCTTGGATGGCTCTTTCGTGATCGGAATGAGTATATGGGGTCTGATCACACGCATCAGCGCAGGACTTGCATAGAGGGAACATCAATTTGCCTTGTGTACGACAGGGCAGGATAGGGTGGAAAAGACCTCGAGGTGGAAGCACCGTGCATTTAATCAAGCCAAAGTAAGTCGAGATATCTTCGAAGTTTTCGGTAATGATGCGGGGATGGCCAACAACTGTTCGAGTCATTTTGTTGCAGCATGGGTAGAGGCTCGTAAAATCCACATACCTAAGATAAAGATGAGGTCATCAATATATTTGCTCTGACGTCACAATCGTTTCTACCATTTTATTACATCTTACCTTATTTTCTCACCTTCTTTACATTCGTGGAACAATTTTGCAGCGTTGGTTTGTCCACCAATGTAGGCATCACGAGGTTCCAAAGGATCAACGAGATCGTATTTGTCAAAGTAAGTCTTCATGTCTTAATCTTGTTCCAGTTCTTTCCTGATGTCACATTCCCAGACTTCAATCACACCGAAACCATGATCTTTAAGGTAACTGATCTTCTCCATTGTAGTTTGATGAAGATCTTGCATCGTCTTACCACTCACAGGATTTACCGTGTCCCGAGCATAGCACTTCAAACATCCTGAAAAAACAATATTATAATTTTATTCCAAGGTCTTTATTCGAAGTAGGCGTTTATTCGAGTTAACTTACCGTGCCAGAAGCACCCATTGATCTCGTAGGCTGTGTTGGTTTCTTCGTTATCTCCTTCATTAAGAGCATGTTGAATGTAGAGGTCTTCCTTTTCAGCCTTATACAAAAGCCATTTTAAAGCCAAGAAGGATTGCTTGTCTTTGGGACGATAGCCGTGAGGGGTAGTGATTGCAATGGTGTTTTCTTTCAGGAAGTTCTTTCGAAACGCTAGATTACAGGCCGATAAAATTGGGAGACATTTCTCGAACGGATCAACGTCTGTAACATCACGAAACAGCTCGCGAAATTCCAGACAGGAATGACGTAATATATCCACATCAGATCGACTGTAAGTCAAGATCTGTTGTTGGAAGTCGAACACGTAATTGTTCTCTTTCAAACCATTATGCCATTCCAAAAACTTTTCTTTCTCATCAGGACTCATTCCATCAGGATGGTAAAATGAAGTAGGTGGTAGGGGTCCAACGTAGTTTTGATTCTCGTTTGTGTTGAATAGATGGGGAAAATAGCCTTTCGCGAGTTCGTTCAAACCAAACGTTTTTGGAAAATCAGCGAGCCTCATCGGTATGAAACTGAGAGAGTCGACAAACTTAATCTTGAACAAAGGAACACTTAACGTTAGGATCTTGGCATCACGCATAATGTCTTCGGGAATTACGCCATTTTCGTATAAGTTCTGTTGAATAAAGTAACCGTCGTAACCTTGAAAGTTGTGATCCAACACGATACAGTTTGCATGTTCCTTTGTAAAAAGCCATTCACAGAATTCATTCTGCTTCGTTTTGCACTACGCACAAGTTGGGTTCATGATTTCCATTTTCTTGGCGATACTCAAAATCGAAAAATAGCAGTTCGTTGTACCCACTTTGGGGGGGCGTCATCTCCGTCATGTGCCTCAGTGTCGAGAAGGTCAGTGTCCTCGCTGACGGCCGTGTTTCTCTGTTTCTCAGGTTGCATGTAACACTGATGATTCTCCAGGCGGACGTATTCCTTACATGTCGAGCAACGTGTCAAGCCGCAGTGATGCCCCCCAATCTACCCCGTTTTACAACAGTATGACATTTGAAACACTTTACCAAAGAAGCACAAATAGACTTTACATTTCCTGCAGTTTCTTTATGTCGATCGAAACATTCTTGACTTTTAAAAATACGCATACAATCTGCACAAGGCAGCCACGAAACAATTGGACAATTTTGAAAATAACATAATTTACACGAGTTAGGGGATGAATGATCGGTCATTTTATCATATATGACAGGTATGACAATAGCATTTCTGGCAAAAAAAAAAGGCCGGCATACTCGTAGTCACATAAATAGTAAATAAATCATTTTGTCTTTTTCGGGACCGGAAAAGATTATAGAATTTTGATGTTCTTTTGAAACGATATTGATTTGAAAATCCGATAAATACGTTTGAAAATGTTTGACTTCGTCTAACCCACAGATCGCTATAGGAACACCTGTTTTTGGTGCAAAGCACGAGCTAAACGTGTTTGAAGCGGTCTCTTGGGTTCGTATATGACGATGCCGTCTATCGTTTTCAAGTTTGGCCTTGGCAACAACTAAAGCACGAGCTAAACAAATTTCTTCGGTGTTTTGGATCCGTATAATTGCCCTTTTATTGATCAAATGCTTTTCCAAATTGATTTCACTACGTTTTGTGCCGGTACCGCCGTTGGGCATTTCAACATGGATTAAATTGACATTGACACTATCATTCAAACAAAATTCATGATTGGACTAAATCACACGCTCGATTTCAGCTAAAACCCGCTCAGTTGTAAGACGCTGACGAGACAAGAAAGGAAGAGAAATGGGGTTTTCTAGTTGAGGCGATTGCAACAGAAAACGAACTTGATCTTGCTTAGGAATATCTTGTGTGACAGTATTCAATAAACTTTCAAATATTTCATAAAGACGATCGTGGTATTGAGAAAGTTCCAAATGAGCAAACGTATCCATAAATTGAACTGTATAATCCATACCAGTCGTGCTGAACTTTTTCACTTTAACTTGCTTAACATTCGATACGGTAAAAAAGTTATCGCTAACCTGTTCAGATGTTCCTGCACCGTCATTCACTTCATCGATAGATCTTTTCTGTCCACGACCAACTTGTAATAAGGGTCCATCGTCATGCCAATCCGTCATAAAATTCTCTCGTCGTTCAAGTGTCCAAGAATCCATAAGGTCCGAAGCGAGTCCTAATCGTTCGTCCTGCAGCAAAGGCTCGTCGTCTTGCCAATTCATCATAAACTGGCGTCCAAGAATCCGAAAGGTTTGCAGTAAGCCCAACTCGTTCGTTTTCCGCTCCCCATTCTAGCAAACGGCTAATAATTTCGACTTTCCTCTCAAACATTAAGCCTTGCTCAAATTCATTCAAAGCATGTTGACTTTCCAAAGCCGTGAGCTCCTGGCTGCGGCTGATCACGTGGCTCCCAGGTTCTAGGAGCTAAATTTAATTGTAACTGCGAGAGGGGTGGGAAAGGAGCGTGTTTGTAGCATTTTAAAATTGCAGCTTTGGGTAAATGAAATTTACTGTATAAAATTTGCAGCAAGAAATCGTGAAGAGAACTCTTACCAGTAATTTAATGCTTATATCGTGACGTTCTACTCTATAATCTGGTGTCGAGTTACAATTCAAGCAAGTTGGATCAGATTTCATTATATACTTGCCAAAGAAAGCACGCTTGCCGCTTGTGCAGCCTACGAGAAAATATATATCTCTAGACCGAACAGTGTGTTTGTTATTTATTTAGTATTAATTTAAAGTCTATCCTGATACTCGGACCAAAAAGAATGTATTTATTGATGAGATGTGGAATTGCAACGAAATAGCGAGATCTTTTGATTTCCGAAATATCGCCAACTGTATCCAGATTGTTGATCTACATAAAGGCCTTATCAAAAAACTTAAAGCTCGTCAAAAGATTATAAAATTGGCCCTTGGCATTTCTGAAACCAACGATCATGGTACCAAAGTATAGCTGTCTGTTGAACATCTACGGTATTAAAATCATACACCAAAGATAAGTCAAATTATATGTCACTCTGTTATACGTGTCTTTCAATGGGAGCACTGTTTTAAAATAGTGTTAATTTTTCATAATTTTTTGCTGTATATGCATTCTTAACAATACAAGTGAGATTTAATTTTTGCTTTGTGAAATAGAATACCGTTATTTATTAATGGACAGCTTGCATCGTCTATATCATATCCAGGATTGCTTGTGTGTAAACGCATTATTCAGTATATGACACTATCAAATAAATATAAGTAGCAAATGATTAATGAATTAGAGATAAACGGTGATTCACAATGAAAACTTTAAAAATGTTAGCAGAAGTAGGCAAGAAAACTCGAAAATTTATGTTTATTCGTATGATGCCAATGACAGTCTGTGCTCATCTGCATACTCGCGCATCTGACACTGTAAATTTGTGATACACATTATAGTATGTTAACACAATATAATGATTAATAGAGACCAAAAAAGGCTAAAGTCTTACTATAATTACCAAATACGAATTATTTACTAAATCCCGATAAACCAATGACTGAAATTTCCTCTATACTTATAGACATTTCTCTGTTTGGCTATTATCAAATATTTACATTTGCTAATAATGGGCCAGTCCTAGACAATGCTGTTTCTTTTAAAAATCTTATAAACAAGACGCGTAATAACAAATGAATCGGTACAAAGCGTATCAACGTTTACAAGAAAGGACGAAACATTACAATAAACGTGTGTTATAGAACCGCGCTCGAGTATGAAGGGAGAGAGCATTGAATAATAACACGAGAGAGCACTGCGAGTAACGATTTGCTTTGTTTCTTGACTTGACTGTAAGTAAGAATGTAAGAATGTTCTTGTGAATTCAAAGCAAGGAAAATAAACAAACATTAGCAAGTATTTTGAACGTAATAATTCACAAAATTTATGTTTTTAACGAATATCACACTGGAAGCATGTTGATGTAATTTGATACTTTCCCCACACCCCCTCGGGCGCTAAATTTTTGATGAGGCACGTGACCATCCGCAGCCAGGGTCTTTCCCAATGAAAGATCCTGGGTACGAGGTTGATACGAGCTCGCTTGACTTTCAAGCTCATAAATCGCTACAATGTAGCCATTGACTAAAACTATCGTTATAAATTAGTATATACTTTTACACTGAATCGAATGGTGGTATTTTCATCCACATAGCGTTTACTGAACCGAAGATATGAATGAAACATACTTAGTACGTGCACGTACTAAGTTTAATGGGCCGTGCTTTAAAAGAGTTAACGACCTTTCCGTGCGACACCACACTGCGCGGGGCATAAACAGACAGGAAATTTAAAACAAATTTATTTAATTATCGCCAAAAGCTTGAAGTCCGTCTCAAGAAATCAAGAGTCGCTTCATGATCTTTCCCAAGGTTTTTAAAATGTTGCGCTGCGTGTTCAAAAGGGAGATAATGGGGGCAACACGAAATCGTACAGTAAAGAAGCAAAATATCGCTGACTGCATGCATAAATTAATTAACACATGGATTAACACAACAAAGCGTACGCACGTCTCTGTTCGTACGAAAAATTGTTTGTACAAAACTGTTCGTACACTGAAATTGTTCGCACAAGGAGAGTTATCGTAAAACATAGGCGGAATATTTGAAGAATAAACTTTCTGATGATTAATCATTGTACTCATGCTAGTAGAGAGTTGATTATAAGAATAAATAAGTTGAGTTGGCTTTCTTATTGGAACTAAACATTTAAATTGTTGTAATACTATGTGAACTTGAATAAAACAAACTGCTGTTCTCTATTTTCTCGGGAATGTACCTCATTATTATTCGAAGCTAGCATAAGTATCATGAGGACCTGAACAATAACATAATATACACCCATTGTACACATCATACACATAGATATCTTATATAGATCATATGTAGCTACGCTCGCACGCTGTGTCAAGCTAAGTACGAACTCTTGGACGTACACTAAGTACGAACGCATTCAACGTTTCAATTACTTCCTTTATAATAATTTATACAGCTAAGTACGAACTCTTGGACGTACACTAAGTACGATGTACACTAAGTACGAACGCTTGGACGTACACCCCCTGTTGACGTCATACATTCCCTTGAATCACTTCCGTACCTATATCGGGAGGGGGGAGGGGGGTTACCTACTTGAATGCTTAAATAAAACTTTACTTTACTGATTATTCTAACTTTGACAAGGGTACGGTTCGATCTCAGTCTAATTCATCTCGTTCAACTGTATCTCGTCACCATCTTTTGTGTCCTGAAAATCAAAGCAAAAATAGTAGCTGGATTCTGCGTCGAATCTATAGGGAGAATGTGTGTGTGTGGGGGGGAGGGGGGGCATTCTCTAAATCAAACTTTCAGACATTTAAAACAAGGGAAGATGCAACGTCTCTTTGCTAAAACAAAATTATTATTGAACACATTTATATAAAAAAATTTGTCTTCTGTATCATATGGCTAAAATGTCCAATGGCCTAAGTATATGCTGCCATGAAATGACGCGCTGATTACACGATAATTCGTCCACACATCTAAAATATCATCTTATAAATGTCATATTTTACTCTTATCAAGATTTTGTTGGCATCTCACTGGATTGAATACTAGTTGAAGTGTGTCGTAGATGGAAATAATTGAGTGGAAATTTATATAGATCTATTAGACATAACCAGAAACAGAAGCGAAAAATGCAACTTTAGGCTTTGGCAGGAATCGAACCTGCGGAATCGCAGGGCCGCAGGTTCGATTCCTGGCAGGGACGTAAAGTTGCATTTTTCGCTTCTGTTCCGGGTTAGGTCTAACAAATGTATAGAAATTTCCACTCGATAATTTCCATATTTCACTCGCTTGTTAACTAGAAACTGATCAAGTTAGAAATCCACATAAAAAATAATATTCAGTTTGTCGTAACATCGCGCAATAATCATTAGGAAATACCACGCAATCTTTACAAGGATTTTCATCCTAGCTATAAGTGCATTGTGCCAATGTTTTCAGTTGCAACAGGGAGATATTAATCGTTGGTCAAAATAATGACGATTTCAGCTACAGTTGGTCAGTGTAAGCAACCAGGCGTCACTGACATTCGCTGGAAGGAGTTCGAGGTACTCAACTGGAACCGGCTGTACGAAAAAAGTGGATAACTCATCCAGTGGATCAGTCCTATCAAATGGATAAATCTCCTATCCAATGGATATATAGCAAAGCAATAGCAATGACCGGTGAGTTTTGTTTACTTGTTTCAGCACGCTGATTCAGTTTTATTTTATATATACGAATATTTGTTCCTTGACCTTGTACTTCATGCATTCAAAACAATTTGAAGAACATTTTCTTGTCAGATTTGATTGGTTGATCGAAAGAATTAATGAGCGAAGAAAACGTTTTCGTCTTTATTGTTATCTATTTATATTTATATTTGTTTGGCTTCGAAGGGAAGTCATTGTTTTTTCACAGCTATAATAGTGAAAGTTTTATTGCTTGTTTTCAAACTACATAATGAAGAAAAAAAGGGAAAAAAGCCGGAATATCTAACGTCTAAGCACTGACACTGGTTTGCGTAAATATGGCAAAGCCATGGCACTATTTAGTAGGCCGAATTAGTGAGCTCATCTCGCTGCATGTCAATAGCAAGAGAAGTAAGTTTCCATGTTCCTTTAGGGTCAAAAAAAGGACTTCTCAACGGTATACCGTATTTTATTTTGTCCATTTCTATCACAATGGCAATCCCTTTTATCTGAAATACACTTTTTTGTCTTCAAACTTCGAGTTTATTCGCCGGATAGTGGATTTAAACTGCCACCGGACCTCGGATAAATTTATCCAATTTATATCTGCGAGTAAAAGAAAGTCCACAACAAGAGAAAGAAGATTCATTGAAAGAAAAAGGAAACCTGATCGTTTCAAGCGGCTTCTGAAACAAAGTAAAAATGGAAAACAGCCAAAATTTAATCGACACGGTAAGCCAATAAAAAGGCATAGGTAAAGCCTGGTTCCAAGGGCTGAAAACGGAAAAAAGAAACATCATCTCACTGCTCAACAGGAAACTCAAGCTTCAGCGATAACAATTTGACTGACAGAAAAATGTTTCAGAAACTAGTAAAAATTTCGTATCCATGATATATGAATGGTGATCGGAGTATGGCTGGCTATAGTGGTTGGGAGGGTCTTAGCCTATAAAGAAGATTGTATCCGACCAACTCGACCGAATGTCTGTTCAAAGTCCGGGAGAAATCCACAAAAAATCCGCATAATCCAAAACCCCCGGAAAAGTTCAAAAACCCCACAAGCTTTCCTTGATAGGGATGCAGCTACTGTATCTGAAAAATATATGAGGAGGATTTCGACGTTTGAAGCGAAGGCCCTTCGTCTGGCGTTACGTTGCCAGTACTATAACTCCAGACGAAGGGCCTTCGCTCCAAACGTCTAAATTCTCCTTATATTTTTCAGGTGGTTGCATCCCTACCAACGAAAGCTGGTTTATATTATTGATGCTACCAATACTGGTACTAGTTTCCCTCGCAGACGTTCTTATAGCTCTATAACCCTCGCTAACGAACGTCTGCTCAAACGAGCTACACATTTCGTTCCCTTTGTTTTAGGAGCCAATCATCTGGTAGTGTTCAAAAGAGTAGAGCAAATCGGAAGCCTTCTTATTGAGAGATTAGCTACTGTACTTGGGAAAGCCCTTGAATGTGGCAACATAATAACTGTTTGGGTTGAAAATTGTTTACTTGCGTGGAGATATTTTGGAAACTATACAGCATATCCATAAACTTCACGATATGTTTACGTAGAATAATATTGTGATCATCTTCTCGCATGTTTCGCAAACAGCTGGTGTATATAAAATGCAAAAGCTATGCAACAGGCGAAATTTTCAGTTTTGTTAATAACAATCACAAACAAGCATTCAGGAAACTCGACAACGAGTAGATCAGGATATGTCCAAATGTGGCTATTAAATACTTCTTTTGTGCCATGGCTTCGAAGAAAATTCTAAAAGATTAAAGGCACAGTTCAGCCTCTTGAATGATGGTTTTTAAGACGCATATAACTATAGGAAAATCAATTAAGCATAATTCAAGATCACCAAACTTAATGTTTTTAACATTTTAAAACATTTTTATTGTTAAAAAGTTAAAGAGTTTTACTGATCTTGAATTATGCTTTAATTGATTTTGCTAGTTAGTTTTTTCAATTGACCATTTGCGTAATAGCCTAACTTTTGAACTAAACAAGGCTGGACAAAAATTTCATCACAGCTTGAAGGAGCATCACAAAATTAGTAATATTCCAAAGTTTTGTTTCAAAATGTTGTAAAATGCGGAAAATATAGCCTTGCGAAATTTGCAATTTTCAAACCCTTCGAGGCTGTCAATTTCCGGTTTGTAATCTAAAATGACTGAAAATTGCAAATTTTGCAAGGCTATATTTTCCGCATTTTACAACATTTTGCAACGTAACTTTGGAATATTACTAATTTTGTGAGGCTCTTTCAAGCTGTAATGAAATTTTTGTTGAGATCAAAATTTAGTCTATTACGCAAATGGTCAATTAAAAGGGCTGAAATGCGCCTTAAAAACCATCATTCAAAAGGCTGAACTGTGCCTTTAAGCTCTCGTTGTTATGTAGAAAAGTATAGGGAAGTTACATGTATAAACGTTTCGGAGTTTTGCAAATTGGAAATTGACCTCGGCGCAATTAAACGTTTCTCCGGTTTTATATTTGTGTTGTGTTTGCATTCAGAAGTTATAGAAGTGGTTGCTCAAAGAGCAAATTAGTTTACTTTGAGACTAATATTTCGCTTTCTATATAAGCCACAGTATTATATCAAAGTTCTGTTGTCTTAAAGATAAACATCTGTCAAAAGTTAAAAATTCTGCGAAATATATTCGGCACTCGATGCTGTCGCCACTAGATTCATACAGTACGCCATCCTGTCCTCGTTTTAATTAAATATAACCGAACATCTTTAATATCCGAATCAAATAATTAATGGTGCATTTTATTTCCTGGTCAAGTATCAATGTCTTTAAAATCAATTTATGTGCAATTTTGACCAAAATTCAACTAACGACTGCTTTCAAAATATATGTATACTATTTATTCCGCTCCTAAATCACTTTCCGATATATAGAAGGTTCGCTGTGATTGGTCGATCGGAGGGAATGGAATGTGCAGTTCGTTTCAGCAGACGTTCGTTAGCGAGGGTTAGAGCTATGAGAACGTCTGCGAGGGAGACTACACTGGCACAGACAGTTCAAAAATCCAACAAAATTTATTTGATAAAACCCGTTAATAATAAAAAAAATCTACTAAAATATACCCGGGTATTTTTGAAGGTCCGAAAATAAGTTCGAAATGCTCCGCGATAATACTTATAGGATATGTATAAATATACCTTTGCTTTTTTCTCATTGTAAGAACGATGAGTTAGTGACGATTCGCTGGCCAAACTCCAGCTTTCTTTCTTGCAACATATTAATGATCGAAAGAAGTCTGGAATATTGAACAGGAGTTCTGGACCTGGACTTGTCTGGCGATCACTGTTTGTTTCTTTAGATGAAAAGAAAAGAAAATGAACTGCAATTTATAAATTTTACTAGGAAATTATGAAACGCAATTGAAGATAAAACTTAAAGATGCCGAAAAACACGCACAAAATTGTGCCCAGCTGATTGTGCAGATAGGTTGTCACACAGAATTTTTTCGCGTTCTTTTTCTACAATATGTGTGATTACTGTAGGTCACAGCATTATTTATATATTTGTAAGTATTGGAATTGAGATATTACTTTGATATTCCCATAACCCTTAAAGATGCTGTAAATCCGCTCTGCATCATAACAAAGGGGGAACCGCAGATATAAACATAGCCTAAATTTTGCATCTTTGAACTAGCTAGCTTGTGTTCATTTACATGCATTATATCGAACCAGAAAAGTGTGAGATATTCAGTTAGTATATAATATTTTACAAATATAGCAGTTCAAAATGTAAACAATGCATTTGTTTATACATTACGGACTTCACAACATCTCTAAAATTACCTTTCAAAATCACAGTGAATGTAAATTAATATTGATCTGGCAGTACTTACCACATATCAAGCTGACTATAACTCCCACAACAAACGTTGTAGCCACGGCAGTTGCACCATACCACAAATATGATAGACTGCCAAGTTTTGCGAACGGTTCACTTTAAAAGAACATAAGAAAGTTAATTTGAATATTGGAACTGCAATTTATTTGGTACAGTACGTTTTTTTGCAAAACTACATTGCACATCGTTTTGGCAGAAGCACATTTACACATTAGTGATTTGTATTGTTTGCGCTACTTTTCAACATTTCCAGTGCTATGTTTGTTTGTTAATGCCCAGCGAAAAAGCACGTTAACAACGGAAATATTGTGAAATGTTACCGTACAGTATCTGTAACAATACAGGAAGTCTTCTAAACAGTTACTGTAACTTTCGTTAAAAATAATCACGTTTTTAACAAGGGACAAAACGAAACTTTAGCATAGCGCCAGTCATTAAAATTGAAATACGATTAGAAATTATAAATATTATAAACATGTTTATTGTTTGTTTCGTAATCACACCAAATTTACGCCATTTTGTTAACGCAAAATTTTTTTGTCCCATTCCTGTCGGGAGGGGATGTTATCATTTCCCCTAAGAAAGAACTGAAAAGAAGCTTATAGATGTTGTTTCTTGTTATTTTATTACGATTACTATATGGATTGTAATAACAATTGAAACTAAAATAACTAAATTTATATTGGCGGCTTTCACCTTGTTTTCGCTGGTTTTTATATATCACGTGTCCATGTTTCATTATATTCAATTTATATTAAGTAACCAACCTTATACAGCCCTAGATACCAGGTTTGCGATGTAACACAATATCACTACACTAGGAGGACTGAAACTAGCAAAATGTGCATATACAAAATGGTGTATTGATTTCATAGCAGTATTGAGGAGTGGTCATAGTTAGTCCTGTACCTATGTGGTACGAAGGTCTTTGACATGATGCCATCAGCTGTTGTATTTGCATAGATAGAACTGTTGCATGCCTTGATTGATATACTACCAGCCATTTTGTTAGGAGGATAAATCACGGCACTGATTGCAATGGTTGTTGTCAAGACAACACCTACAAAAGCTCCAGCATAGGCACCCTGTAAAATGATAATATAACAGTACGATATTCAAATGTCTTATGGCCCGAAGCACTCGCATATACAGGGGAATGTTGATTTTTGTCCATAACGGGTAGTACGCTTGCTTAGTTAACCTGGCGCACACGCATCCAGTTATGCACTTAAACGCAAGAATTGCGTGAGTTTAACTATGGCGTGACGCAATATAGAATAATTGCACCGTTGTACATCTCAACTGAACTTTATTATCCCACTTAAAATGTTTCAATGCTCTACGTCATTTTCACTGCATGATAACATTTTGCTGCAACACACAACAGATCCGGAATGTAACATTTTTCAATAATCATGATAACTAGAGTTCTTAATCGTTGATGGGTAAGGAAGACAGAATTTTCCAGCTGTGTTTAATTAAAAAAAATCCTTCTCAATAACTAGTCGACAATTAAAACTAATTTAAAAAATATCAATATATTAATAATGATTCTTTACTGTATATATATTTCACAGTTCTCTTCATAATTTATAGTTCTCCTTTGTATGTTTCTGATTTTTATTATATACATGACAAAATTACTGCAATCTGATTGGTTAAGAGGAGTGCAATTATTTCATTAATTGCACTCTCCAGGAGTGCAATTAATGATTTTCGTGATGGCTGGGGGGAGCGGGAAATCAAAACAACAAAATCCAATGTGGCGGCGAAATTGAGATAAGTATTTCTAACAAATGTGGACGAATTTAACTGAATTTTGGCACAAGAATGAGTTTAAGAAACATTGTATGGCAAAAAGAGCCTGTGGAAAATACCTGGAAACAGTCCTAAGAAATAATCTTGGCGGGATGCAGAGAAACGTGACTATGTAAGTTTGAAATACAATTTATAAAGATTTTCTTAGTCTAAAATATGTTGCTTGAGTTTAAATCTTGTGTCCTAGTTTAAGTTATTTGCCTTTATGAGTTTATAATCATTTCCCAAGTGTTTATACCAAATTGCTTACAAAAGAATTAAAAACTCTTGACAAAATGCAGTTGAAATACAAAGAAAGCGATTTTGTTATGCATATAATAAATAAATAATCACACGGGCAAGTCGTTCAATCAACGATTAACACTATACTCGTGATATTTGAAAAATGTGCCAAATTGCACTCGCCTCGGCGGCTCGTGCAATTTTGGCACATTTTTCAAATATCACTCGTACTGTTAATCATTAATTACACTCCTTCCCGTATGATTACCTATACTAATTGTGTTCTCCAATTTCCGATGCCGAAAGGGTCTGAAGGTCCGAAGAACTCGCCCTATAGTTAGACTTGTCACAAGTCCAGCTCAGAATTGTTTCCTAATTTTATTGGGCAAGTAATAAATTTGAGATTGGTGCGAGGAGGCGGATTGGGTCTGTCCCTATAGTTCGCAGTTCTCAAAGGATCAGCAATTCTAGTGTATTCTATTACATTGTTTTTGGGAGTTGATCTCTGGTTAATATATAGTAATTATAGATCTATATCTTCACAACTATTTTTACATGGATTGTTTTATATTGTGTGCATCATCTAAACAGAAAATAAATTTCGTGATACTTTATAATTGGCTCTTGGTATCATAATTCCCAAGAAAAATATTCCAAGCAAAGGACCACCAATTATTCCAGTGATACTGTAGGCAAGCTGAAAGATTAAATCGTTATAACATTCGAGGACACTATGAACTAATATAAACTTGTCAGTGCTATCGTTGGGGAAATTCATGTACATGAATATGTACAAATAAAGAAAACTTCTGTCTTTTGACCAGAGGCACCAAGATGCATGCAGGGAAGGCGGATAGAAAGAACACATCTTTTATAAAGACACGCAGATATACTGTACGAAGTAGTCATTCGTAAAACGATAAATAGAAAGTGATAGAACTATTTACGCGAGTATATTTCCTGGTTTTCTTTCTTTAAGATACGTCGAACACGCCTCACTCCAGGCCGTACACAATGCTAACATTGGTACTGACGACCAATCCGTTTGAAAATCTGAGAGCTCTGAAACGCTATTTAATATATATATTTAAAATCGTGTACAATCGCCGTTCTTACATTCTGAGAACACTTTGATCCCCAGATAATATATATTTAAAATTGCGTACAATCGTCGAAAGCCGATGTCATTGAAAAATTTCAATCAAAAGACATATATAGGAACGAGTGGAGTACGCCGGTACTTGCATGCAAAAAAGCATCTCAGAGATAACATCAGATAAAAAAGAGGAAAAAAGCAGTGGAAAAAGTGTCTTTAACTGTATCAAAAGTACTTTTACAACCAGTACTTACTGTACAGAGCCGCAGCCTATTTTTATGGAAAATATATTTTGTCTGAATTAGTTATGCCGCATACATGATGATTATTTAATAGCTGATAACCTGATCTCAATCTATGCAATTTGTGTGCATACAGTTGATGAAACAACTTTCAATGTGAAACTAACTGTTTATACTATTGTAATGTATATATTTTCAATTCATGCGGCGTGATACCAAAACTGACGTAGGCTATTGACTATTAAAATGACAAATATAATAGTCAATGAAACAAAAAGAAACACGGAAGTCACGTGCCTCGTCGACCAAAAACATCACTAATGCTATTATAAAGGTAATAATCATTTCCCTTGCTAATCAATATATTAATATCATGGAAAAAACATTATACCGAGGCCTGATAAATTGCTCGATTTTAAGTAGAATCTGCCCGATTAAAATCTGATTGGGAGCTACAACCATACTCTCACCCTATACGTCTATGGACTCTCCAATTTGAGAGAATGCCATTTCATACATCCATTTTCAAGTGGGGGAAGTTTTATATAGCATTGGGGGTATTGTATCATTATCAGTCACTGGCGCTAAGTTCCCACACCTGACTAATGTGCTAATTGCGTTCTATGGAAAAAATTATTAATTTAAATATATGTACCTGTAATACCAATGTACCAAAGTATTTGATTACGAAAGCAGCGCATGTTATCAGTAAACCATATAACACAGCTAAAAGAACGAACGAACATGATCTGTAATGTTGTAATTGTCTATAACATTAAAATCATCTCTATAATAATAAAAATAACAATAATAAAAATAATAATAATAATAATAATAAAAAACGGCTTATTGATGGCCGAGCTTGAGGTATATACTGTGAAATATCAGACCGAGGGTTTTTAGTATGGATCAAGCGACGAAGGAGCCGACCTCGTACCCAGGCTTTTACCTTCGCACGCCCTCAAGCTGCGCATCCCCGTTGCCAGGGCTTCTCGGCTGCCTGTGTTGCCGTAAGCCCTGGGACAACCTAAACGGGAACACCTCTCTCCTCCGCAGAGGCTTACATGAAGTTTCTAGTGAGGGAAAAGTGAGCGCGCAAGGAGTGATGGGAAGAGCTAAATAAAGGAAGCCTCTGCG